TTTTAGATTCTTTTTGTTCTCGAGATATTAATTATTCCCTACATTCCTGGTACGAGTATTGTAGCCGGGGCTGTGAACGGCCTACACAAATTCATCTGAGTAGGGACTGTAAGGTCGGCTCTGTCTATACCTGTAGCATAGGTCATACAAGACAAAGTTGTGTTTCGGCGCGTTCGTATTGTTCTTGTGATCTGTCTATTAATTTCATATACCACAATGAATCTTGACTAAATTGCAAACATGTACATGCTGAAGAAACGGCCCACTGTTTTTATCACGTCGCCGTTTCCGTCTTTTTGCATGGCAAGATATGTTTGTTTTTTGTTTGTTTTTGTTTTATAACTTTTAGCCAAACTTTACAATTGCTTAAGTGCTTCCTATGATATGTAAGAAGATTAGTAACATCTGCTGTTGTTGTGCTATTATGTAATAAATTTTGCTGAATTTAATAAGCGTTTGCGAAATTTCAATTTATTTTGCTTAAAGTTATATGTTTGCTTAATTTAATCTTTTGCTAAATTCAATTGTCTGTATATATAGAACCTACATCCCTGTCTGTACCCGTCACATTAAACATATATAGAACCTACATCCCTGTCTGTACCCGTGACATTAAACATATATAGAACCTACATCCCTGACTGTACCTGTTACATTAAACATACATAGAACCTACATCCCTGTCTGTACCTGTTACATTAAACATATATAGAACCCACATCCCTGACTGTACCCATCACATTAAACATATATAGAACCTACATCCCTGACTGTACCCGTGACATTAAACATATATAGAACCTACATCCCTGACTGTACCCGTCACATTATACATATATAGAACCTACATCCCTGACTGTACCCGTCACATTATACATATATAGAACCTACATCCCTGACTGTACCCGTCACATTAAACATATATAGAACCTACATCCCTGACTGTACCGTCACATTAAACATATATAGAACCTACATCCCTGATTGTACCGTCACATTAAACATATATAGAACCTACATCCCTGACTATACCGTCACATTAAACATATAAAAAACCTTCATCCCTGACTCTACCCGTCACATTATACATATATAGAACCTACATCCCTGACTGTACCCGTCACATTAAACATATATAGAACCTACATCCCTGACTGTACCCGTCACATTATACATATATAGAACCTACATCCCTGACTGTACCCGTCACATTATACATATATAGAACCTACATCCCTGACTGTACCCGTCACATTAAACATATATAGAACCTACATCCCTGACTGTACCCGTCACATTAAACATATATAGAACCTACATCCCTGACTGTACCCGTCACGTAAAACATATATAGAACCTACATCCCTGACTGTACCCGTCACATTATACATATATAGAACCTACATCCCTGACTGTACCCGTCACATTAAACATATATAGAACCTACATCCCTGACTGTACCGTCACATTAAACATATACAGAACCTACATCCCTGTCTGTACCCGTCACATTAAACATATATAAAACCTACATCCCTGTCTGTACCCGTGACATTAAACATATATAGAACCTACATCCCTGACTGTACCCGTCACATTAAACGTATATAGAACCTACATCCCTGACTGTACCCGTCACGTAAAACATATATAGAACCTACATCCCTGACTGTACCCGTCACGTAAAACATATATAGAACCTACATCCCTGACTGTACCCGTCACATAAAACATATATATAACCTACATCCCTGACTGTACTCGTAACATTAAACATATGCAGAACCTACATCCCTGACTCTACCGTCACATTAAACATACATAGAACCTACATCCCTGTCTGTACCCGTAACATTAAACATATATAACCTACATCCCTGACTGTACCTGTTACATTAAACATATATAGAACCTACATCACTGTCTGTACCCGTCACATTAAACTTATATAGAACCTCCATCCCTGTCTGTACCCGTAATATTAAACATATATAGAACCTACATCCCTGTCTGTACCCGTCACATTAAACATATATAGAACCTACATCCCTGACTGTACCCGTCACGTAAAACATATATAGAACCTACATCCCTGACTGTACCCGTCACATTATACATATATAGAACCTACATCCCTGTCTGTACCCGTGACATTAAACATATATAGAACCTACATCCCTGACTGTACCTGTTTCATTAAACATACATAGAACCTACATCCCTGTCTGTACCCGTCACATTAAACATATATAGAACCTACATCCCTGTCTGTACCCGTCACATTAAACATATATAACCTACATCCCTGACTGTACCTGTTACATTAAACATATATAGAACCTACATCCCTGTCTGTACCCGTCACATTAAACTTATATAGAACCTCCATACCTGTCTGTACCCGTAACATTAAAGATATATAACCTACATCCCTGACTGTACCCTTCACATTAAAGATATATTTTAATTTCTATCCAAAAGCAGATTCAATGAAACTACTAAATGTGATCTGTTTCATTTACCAATGAATTTGACCAGATTAACATTGCCAGTGGATGAATACAAATATTAGGTAAGGGGAGAGAACTCCCCAACTTCTACTAGACTTTCAATATATTACAAGTATGAGATTTAAAAACATCAAAATAAAAATTTAAAAACTATTGAAAACTATTAATAAAATAATAATAAAAATAAAAAAACAAAATTGTGTGTGCTATGGTAATTTTTGTAATTACTAAATATAATTCCGTTCATTTGTAGATGGTAAGTTTCATCAAAATACAGAAAGACATAATATTATTCTGTTATAATTTTTGTACAATAAAGAATTTCAGCAATAATAGTTAAACGTACTTATAGTTAAAATTATGTACATTATGTAGAAAAGATTAAAAAAATTTATGCGTATGATGGTAATATATTAATCCGTCCTAGATCTTTAAGGTATACAATGACGAACACTATAATGATATACAAGTTACGGCGTATGTTTTTTTTTGGATAAAAAATACGCCAAGACCAAACATGACTGTAGGTTTATGTAGTAGCTCGGAGACCAATCACAGAAGACCCCCTACACAGTCTTTACCACCAGAGATTAACGGAATGACCTTTAACGGCGAATAATTCACACAGAGTATTTATCAATCATCGAGGACAAAAGTATTGTTTGTGGCCTAACTAACACAGCATAGCAACTCGAACGAGCCGAAACACATATATATACGGTATGACTGTCCTTCCGGGATAAGCTTTGTTACGGTAACCGACATCCTGGTGATTCACCCCATCCGCGTTAATGCTACAATATGACAAAGTGCGCCCCACTCATGCTACGACGTACGTGCTGCTGATGCCACGGCGTGTAGGCATAATTGTAAGACACATATTAACTAACGCAAGACGATTTAGCCTGTTTTCGATTGTTTTAATACGAGAACTGAAACTGGAACGAAATAAACATATGATAAACCATTTTATCGGAAATACGAGATTTCAGTGCAATATTTTGTAAACGGCCCCGAGTGGCAAGTAGTCGGCGATATTACCGGTCACCGGCACATATAGAGAATCCTTCACGTGACTTTTTTTTTTTTTTTGCTTTTTGTTGTCGTTGTTTTGTTTTCTGTCAAACCGCCATACATTAAGGGAATCGTAAAAAGAAAGAAATATTTAATTGTACACCGGTATATTTTAAAATTTTAGGCATTTTATCCCCGAGAATGTTGACAATGGGTTCAAAATATTTTTCCGCACAATATGAACTGTTTCATCTAAATCAAGATAAGTTGCAAGTGCCTCAGATGTTTAGGAATTGTTAGATAGACGTTATTTTCTGATCTTAGTCACAATCAGTCAATCCTTTGTACAATGATTAAAGCCCCAATATACGTAACATTCACCAAAAATTTAGTGTAGAATCACACATAATTATTGAGATATTCTCTAAGATGTAGTTAAAATTAAGTAATTCAAACAATAGTTACCATGACTTTGTGCATAAAGTATTGATATATGAGCAGTTGAAACTCGCTATTTGTAAACACACCTCCATTTTAAACACGCCGCCATCGAAATTACGATTGTTGCCGAACCACGTCGGAAAGTTCATGACCTGATCTCGCGAGAGTTGAGGTCTCTACTTATAGAGGAAGCACATGCAGATATGTCTACGGTAAGTTTTTGTTTCCAAACATTGTTTGCGAAGTCTTGTCGTAGACTTGAAGTATTCCTGTGATAAACATTCAGTTTTTGGGAAATTATTAGAAGGAATAATTAGTTTAGAAACGATACGACGCACAACTATAACGTAAGAATTAAGAACTGGCCTGATGTATGATTGAAAAAAAGGAAGCGACTGGTGAACGTCTGTACTGTGTCTGCCATGTTTACACACGCGGAATATGGGCATGCGCAATGTCATCCCTACGAGCGGTAATGGATGAATTATTGTGGGTCCCACATTGTTTATTTTCCGATTTTTTCAATTTTTATTCAAATTGAAAACAGTCAGTTCTATTTTCTTTAATTAAAGGAAAGTATTTGTTTTGTTACATATATTACGGGGAAAATAAGATAAAGTTTGTTTTTTATAGTGATTTTTACGTGTATTGTATATTTGGGCTTTAACAGACGCAATAATCATAAAATATTTATAATAATAATAAAACCCCAAACAAACAACAATGAGATAACAAATTAATTATAGATAAAGTAATTATTCGGTAAGATCAATTATTGCATAATTTAAATACAAATTCTACTAAATTCCCATTAGAAGGTAATGTTGGTGTCATGAATTATTTTCCTGTCCGTCATCAGACAGAACTGGTTCTTTCTGTATCTGTTCACAAACATTTTCCTTTCATACATGCAAACAGATTATTTATATGTTCGAGATGTTAATTTCAATATCTTCAAAACGTCTTCAGCACTGCTTTTTTTATCTCTACATATGTGAAATGGTATTCCAATCACAATGAATGAGATATACTTACGACAAGTACTTGGAGGGGAAATTTTGGCTTGTCAGGTACGATGTTGTATCCGTGGCTGTTAAAGTGGCAGTCGAGCTGCAAGCTTTAAGTATACAATAAGTATTAGGTATTAAGTATTAACGATTAAAAAGGCTGCATAATAAAAAAAAAAGAAAAAATATCCGCCAGATAAATATTTGCTTACTTTATCGACGAATTAACGGTCAGTCAATTTGAAGTCGGAACTCCTTGTTACTTCTGGTAACTACCTAGCTGAACAACGTATAACTGGCCCTTCAAGTCGTGACTACCTCACTGAACAACAAACGGAAGGATATTCCAGCGGCGACTTCATCTCTGAACAACATACGGAAGACCTTCGAGTGTCATGTAAGTCCATTTGGTTGAAATATATAGCCAATGGACACAATCAGGACAGACAAAATATTTCTCAGCTATATTGATAGGATATCGCGTAAATTATTTTTAATTATTGTATTGTTCATATCGTATATCTTGTGGTAGTGTGTAATTGAAGCCGACTTTATGGTGTTGCCACACTGAAATATACCAGTTGTGACTACCTAACTAAACAACATACTGAAGGCCCTGCGATTGGTGACTGCCTCTCTGATTAACATACTGATGGCCTTTCCAGTGGTGATTACCTCACTGAACAAGGACCTTCGATTGATAGCTCTATCACTGGACAACATACGGAAGGCCCTTAGAGTGGTGAGTACCTTACTGAATAACATAGGGAAGGCCCTTCGAGTGGTGAGTACCTTGCTAAACAACATACGGAAGGCCTTTCGAGTGGTGAGCACCTCACTGAATAACATAGGGAAGGCCCTTCGAGTGGTTAGCACCTCACTGAATAACATAGGGAAGGCCCTTCGAGTGGTTAGCACCTCACTGAATAACATAGGGAAGGCCCTTCGAGTGATGAGTACCTTGCTAAACAACATACGGAAGGCCTTTCGAGTGGTGAGCACCTCACTGAATAACATAGGGAAGGCCCTTCGAGTGGTGAGTACCTTGCTAATAACGGAACAGAACACGTATCAACTCCAGTCACACTCACTGAATAACATAGGGAAGGCCCTTCGAGTGGTTAGCACCTCACTGAATAACATAGGGAAGGCCCTTCGAGTGGTTAGCACCTCACTGAATAACATAGGGAAGGCCCTTCGAGTGATGAGTACCTTGCTAAACAACATACGGAAGGCCTTTCGAGTGGTGAGCACCTCACTGAATAACATAGGGAAGGCCCTTCGAGTGGTTAGCACCTCACTGAATAACATAGGGAAGGCTTAGCACCTCACTGAATAACATAGGGAAGGCCCTTCGAGTGATGAGTACCTTGCTAAACAACATACGGAAGGCCTTTCGAGTGGTGAGCACCTCACTGAATAACATAGGGAAGGCCCTTCGAGTGGTGAGTACCTTGCTAAACAACATACGGAAGGCCTTTCGAGTGGTGAGTACCTTATTGAATAACATAGGGAAGGCCCTTCGAGTGGTGAGTACCTTGCTAAACAACATACGGAAGGCCTTTCGAGTGGTGAGCACCTCACTGAATAACATAGGGAAGGCCCTTCGAGTGGTGAGTACCTTGCTAAACAACATACGGAAGGCCTTTCGAATGGTGAGTACCTTATTGAATAATATAGGGAAGGCCCTTCGAGTGATGAGTACCTTGCTAAATAACATACGGAAGGCCTTTCGAGTGGTGAGCACCTCACTGAACAACTTACAGAAGGCCCTTCGAGTGATTAGTACCTTGTTAAACAACATACGGAAAGCCCTTCGAGGGCTATTTAAAGCCATTCGGCCAATGGACACAATCACAAGACAGACAGGTATAGTTTTTAGCGATATGTATTGGATATTACTTGAATTGTTTTAAAATATTGTATGGTTCATATTTTTTTATCTTGTGGTAGTGTGTAATTGAAGCCGATACAAAGTGCTGCCACACGGACTACAGCAGGAATCATCTCTCTGCTTCTATTGAGAAGTGCCTTTAAGATTAGAATTTGTAAGACTTTTGACGTTAATGAACTTATAAGTGTTAGAAAGTCGTGATGATATTAAATGAAGGTCTATATGCAAAGATCTTTCATTCGATCTTAAAGGAATTCACCGAGACATGATACAACAATTATATCATGACAGTGAGTTTTTGCACTATCTAAAAGTCGTTTGAAAGAAACAGTTGACGCCTGCAAAACATTTTTCAACTTTAGCATTGAATCCATCCTTAAGTGCCGTCATGTTGGTGAGACGGGGATATGTGAGAGTCTAATGACGTCTATAAATTCATCATATACAATAAGGAATATCTATTTACGTAAAACAATAATAGAATTACCTCCACCATCCATGGCTTTGGCTGACATGTATTGAATGGTAAAACCATTCTGATTGGCGTCCGCAATAGAATCCGATTGAAAACTAATATAGACGTTACCGGACAGGGCAACACGATTGACGCTGAAGCTGGACGCTCCTGCGGCGTTAGATGAGAAAGAAGCTGCTCCAGAGCCATCGGTACCTATTAAAGGATAACAAATACAAATACTTCTAGTCGATTTACTGTTAACTACTAATGGTGTACCTGTATATTGTATTTTTGAAAAGTACATCAAGAATCAGTTTAGCATATTTTTTATTGTTAAATAACACTAAAAAGAAATTAACTACATGTATTCTATTAGTAATTGGAAAGTAAGAAATTTACAATAAGTCTTAATCTTGTACAATCTTAACTATCAATGATAAATTGTTTGATGCTTGACTTGATCATTAATCAAAATGCAACGATCATGAATATCTTTGTGTGTTAAACTGAATAAATTCGGTTGTGAATATTTCTTTTTTCGATAGAAAAAATCTAGGTTACCGAATACAAGTTGTCGCATTTGATTTTGTGATTTAGGACACTGATGCCAACAGCTGACGGATAAATTTACAACACATGACTCCGAGAGATGACAGTGATGAAGATTATGAGAAAGACATATCATTACTTCTTGCGAAACATACTTCCTTGTGCTAACAAGAATTGACAAAGAAAAACACCTTTCATAGTCATGGCCTATGCACAGACACGTTTGCTTGATAGCTTTTTCAGCTTCCTGCATAGGTTCTCACAATGAGTCGATACAAACAATTATTTATGAACTTGTTAATTGCTCCGAAGAAAATAAACAACATACCGTCATATATCTGTAGGATGTCGTTCGGCCTCAAGTTATCTATCTGTATGTACATAAGGATATCTTCACTAGCAGAATTTGATGAAATCAGCTTCCATGCACAGTTGAGATTTCTGTTATCAACAAAATGATAGTTCTTTACTTGGGAGATAAAAAATAAAGAAAGGGGGAAATAATTCTTTGATCGTAAGGCAAGCAAGGAAGTTGTATTTCTGTTACAAGTTTTGTATACAGTATATATACCAGAAAATGTACTTAATTACACCATTAATTTGTTCTTAAACTCGTGGATGATAATTTAATACAATTTATTTCTTCACTAAAAGCATTTTTTTTCACAATTACATGTACTTTAACAAAAACAACCCATTTAAGTCAATATTACATTTAGCTCTGTAAGCAACCTCTGTGTCACCGTTACATTAAATCAACAAGCCATCAATTGTCCTTGTTACATAAAGTTGAATATTGATGTCCCATAGTGATTAAAACTTACTCTGTGTACACTCCACTGCTTGGGTACGTTATGCTACCAGTTTCAAAGGTTGCCAGATTTATATCAGAGGAAGTCCCCGAACACTGCGCATGGACTTAATTGTAACATAAATATCATCTGTTACCAATATATAAATAATTCGACAACAAAAAGGACGTTTTTATGTTCATAGTGGCTAATAAGAGGTAACAGCATCAAACAATCGAAATTGAATACAAAATTATATATACCACTGTTTAGTGTATCAAACGCAGATTTAATATTCAGTATAGATGTAATAAGAGAATCAAATGCCTTGACGAACCAGTAATATAGAACAAATATGATTTTAATAATGATAGTTTCAGGAGGATTTTAAGGAAAACGTCAAATTCCTGTCATTGTAAATATTTGCGTCTATGCTTTTTTGGTGGGTATGACATTTTTCTTTTTTGCTCTATATAGTCCCCTCTTTTGGCGTCTCGGGGGAGGGGGACACATCCCTCGATCTCGCTGTTTGAACTTCATTGTCACTATGATGCTTGCGGTCAAATATGCTTCGCTGTTTTAGCAGAAGACATAAAAATATATATTTTCCCCACGCAATAAACTCCAATACCACACCTGGAAAATTTCAAAATTAGGGTAAAACCCCTTAATTCAGACGGCTTTTAAAATTCGAATATTTTGTCCCTCTACTATGGCACATTGAAGGAGGAGAAGGGATGTTAAACCCTGAAATTTCACAGGTTTGAATTGCCATTCCTTAAGGACTCTTGTTTAAAAAAAACGCTGAAGTTAGGCTGTTTTCTTTAGCAGTAGACGTCAAAAATATGTTTTGTCCTGTACCAACTATACTGACATGAAACAAGTTATCTAAAGGTAAGTTTGATCATGTCTCACACTATGCTAATTGGATGATAAATTGGTATGTCAAACATTGAGCTGTTCTGATGATTCCTTAATTCCCTAGGCAGTGACTGACCGAATGCTTGGAATTGAACAGGGTCTTCGCGCTTAACGGGTGTGAGATGACGAGGTTCGACTGTAATTGATTCAGTATTGTTTTAGTGTTTACTTATATAAGCATTTAAGGATAACCATCGATTACTTAATGTACCTTTTTATTTACAGAAATTATCTTAATATATATATATAGTTCTTACTGCAAGTAAATTACCTTTGTAACTATATGCCAGTAGGATAAAGGTTGTAATCAGTTCTCGATATGTCATGATGGGTTCTGCTGATGGTTTTAAAGCTGATAAACTCTTGTTAACGCTGAAAAGAGAACAAAGAACACGTCAAATGAGAAATGGGGAAAAAGAAGGAAATATTAGTTATGTAAAGTAAGATAATCACTGCAATATATATCACTGCATAATATCTGTAAGAGCATGTCTTTTCATATATATATATACATGTACAGAAAATTAATCATTTAACATGACAAACAAAGGCCTGAAAACTTTAGTGATATATTTGTTTGTCATGTTAATTTTCTCTGTATATACGAAGTTTTTATCTTTTTAAATTATATATATATATATATATATATATATGCCATCAGAAAATCAAGTGGTTATATTTTTTTGCTGTCAATGTTTTCAGTATGTTATATACCCTCACAACAGAAAAGCTTGTATGAAGACGCTCTCCACGGTTGATGCCTTGTAAAATGCCATAAAAATGACAAGGTTTAACATGTATAGGCCAACATAATATCCCATCTGGTCATACGATACAGAGCAACTGATCATGTAAATCTATATATGGATCAGCTTATATATATATATATCTGATTGTTTTGTTCTAATTCGGTCAGGGGTGTGAAAACAACACTTAAGTCTCAAAGTGGGCACAAAATCTTCCATTACATCCTCGCAACATCTAGGGTAAAAGGAGGACCGGTGTCTAGGGAGACCAACGACAGGGAGAAAAGGAGGTCCGGTGTCTAGGGAGATCAACGACAGGGGTAAAAGGAGGTCCGGTGTCTAGGGAGATCAACGACAGGGAGAAAAGGAGGTCCGGTGTCTAGGGAGATCAACGTCAGGGAGAAAAGGAGGTCCGGTGTCTAGGGAGACCAACGACAGGGGTAAAAGGAGGACCGGTGTCTAGGGAGACCAACGACAGGGGTAAAAGGAGGTCCGGTGTCTAGGGAGATCAACGACAGGAGTTAAAAGGAGGACCGGTGTCTAGGGAGACCAACGACAGGGAGAAAAGGAGGTCCGGTGTCTAGGGAGATCAACAACAGGGGTAAAAGGAGTACCGGTGTCTAGGGAGACCAACGACAGGGAGAAAAGGAGGTCCGGTGTCTAGGGAGATCAACGACAGGGGTTAAATGAGGTCCGGTGTCTAGGGAGACCAACGACAGGGGTAAAAGGAAGACCGGTGTCTAGGGAGACCAACGACAGGGAGAAAAGGAGGTCCAGTGTCTAGGGAGATCAACAACGGGGTTAACCAACGACAGGGGTTAAATGAGAGGGAGAAAAGGAAAAGGTCCGGTGGGGTAAAAGGAGGACCAGGTGTCTAGGGACACAAACGACAGGGGTAAAAGGAGGTCCGGTGTCTAGGGAGATCAACGACAGGGGTTAAATGAGGACCGGTGTCTAGGAAGACCAACGACATGGAGAAAAGGAGGTCCGGTGTCTAGGGAGATCAACAACAGGGGTAAAAGGAGGACCGGTGTCTAGGGAGACAAACGACAGGGAGAAAAGGAGGTCCGGTGTCTAGGGAGATCAACGACAGGGGTTAAATGAGGACCGGTGTCTAGGGAGACCAACGACAGGGAGAAAAGGAGGTCCGGTGTCTAGGGAGATCAACGACAGGGAGAAAATGAGGTCAGGGTTTAGGGAGAACAACGGCCAGGGTTAAAGCAGAACAAGTGTTTAGAGAGACAAAAGGTCCGGGTAAAAGGAGGACTGGTGTCAACAGCCCGGGTAAAAGGAGGACTGGTGTCAACAGCCCGAGTAAAAGGAGGACTGGTGTCAACAGCCCTGGTAAAAGGAGGACTGGTGTCTGTGGAGGCCAACAGCCCGGGTAAAAGGAGGACTGGTGTCAACAGCCCGGGTAAAAGGAGGACTGGTGTCTGTGGAGGCCAACAGCCCGGGTAAAAGGAGGACTGGTGTCTGTGGAGACCAACAGGCCGGGTAAAAGGAAGACTGGTGTCTGTGGAGGCCAACAGCCCGGGTAGAAGGAGGACTGGTGTCTGTGGAGGCCAACGACCCGGGTAAAATGAGGACTGGTGTCTCTGGAGGCCAACAGCCCGGGTAAAAGGAGGACTGGTGTCAACAGCCCAGGTAAAAGGAGGACTGGTGTCTGTGGAGGCCAACGGCCCGGGTAAAAGGAGGACTGGTGTCTGTGGAGGCCAACAGCCCGGGTAAAAGGAGGACTGGTGTCTGTGGAGGCCAACAGGCCGGGTAAAAGGAGGACTGGTGTCTGTGGAGGCCAACAGCCCGGGTAGAAGGAGGACTGGTGTCTGTGGAGGCCAACGACCCGGGTAAAAGGAGGACTGGTGTCTGTGGAGGCCAACGACCCGGGTAAAATGAGGACTGGTGTCTGTGGAGGCCAACAGCCCGGGTAAAAGGAGGACTGGTGTCTGTGGAGGCCAACGACCCGGGTAAAATGAGGACTGGTGTCTGTGGAGGCCAACGACCCGGGTAAAAGGAAGACTGGTGTCTTTGGAGGCCAACGGCCCGGGTAAAAGGAGGACTGGTGTCTGTGGAGGCCAACGACCCGGGTAAAAGGAGGACTGGTGTCTGTGGAGGCCAACAGCCCGGGTAAAAGGAGGACTGGTGTCTGTGGAAGCCAACGACCCGGGTAAAATGAGGACTGGTGTCTGTGGAGGCCAACGACCCGGGTAAAAGGAAGACTGGTGTCTTTGGAGGCCAACGGCCCGGGTAAAAGGAGGACTGGTGTCTGTGGAGGCCAACGACCCGGGTAAAAGGAGGACTGGTGTCTTCTGTTTTAGGTAAACATGATTTTATAAAAGTCATATTAAATTTTTCATACAATTACCTAATTTTAATTTTGAAATATTATCATAGTATGCATTTTTTAAGTTTTAATATTGATAATTTCCTTCTTCATATTTTAATTTCATACGTAAAAAGGCGTTCTGTTCTGTCGAAGGACTACGTTTATCTTCCTCATTCAGTTGATAATGTCACCAAACACGCAATTGTAAAATTATAATTAAGGAGTTAATGTGCGATGTGCCTCAATATCGCATTTCTCAGTACACACCAGAAGCATTTATTCTCCATTAACTGTTGTGCGACTTATTATAACATCTATCACGTTTGAATAACTAACCATTATTCGTTAATAGAGGAAATGGAATACTGATGCGGTCGTGGGAAGCAAGCAAACACTTACATTCAATGTTTGCAAATATTGTCAAAATGTCATATGACAGGACGGATCCAACATTATTCGTCACATCTTGTCAACATAAGTACTTTTACGTAGACACATGAAAATACACACATATGGTCGAAGTCTACAGCTAGCAGCTTTCATGCTTGAATAAACACATATGATTATTCAAGCATGAGCAGGCACAATTGACTGTCCAATCTGATTGTAAACAAGAACTGACAGACCAAAACTAAACTAAATAAAGTTGAAATACTGCTATTGATAGCATTTACGCACGGAAAATTTGTTGTTAATGTTAAAGTTAACAAGTCATGCAAGAAAGTCAGCAATTACTGCATTTTAAACAAGAGAGTCTTCTGAGCGAAGAAAGAACAACATTTCGACAAGACAAATTTTCTAACATAATAATACTGTATACTTGCCCGGTACATAATTTGAGTATTTCCATTGTTTAATTTCCCGACGAACATCTGATTGCGAGGAAGACAAAACAAATGTATGATGCAGTTTAATTCATTATGTGGGTATGGTATATATCTAATACCATGTTTGTGTTAACGGTGCTTTGCTTGTGTTTTTCCTTTTCTCCTTCTTTTTTCATTCCTATTCACTTTAAACTAATCATATATCAAAGCTTCAAATATACAATGTTTACAAGGATTATTTGATATCAAATTCTTCTCCGTTCCAAAACACTATTGTTTGGTTATTTATGAACGCTATTTTGTAAATGAAAAAAATCCAAAGGTGCGATCTGAAGTTTGGTTAATGATGTGTAAAGTTATAATACCTACCTTTAGTTCATATAGGTATTTAGAAAGATTCGAATGAAAGTAATGATAAGATCGCATTTTCTATGCTATACGAACCTAAATCCCATACAGGTTACTCAGATTTCTGACCATGCGGTTCGATATGGAGGTAATAGAGCATTGAATGATCCTATCAAGTGAAAGCTAAGAAACATGATATTGACAGAACAAATACACCATATTTTGGAAACTGAGATTTTATTCTTCAAGTGTACAGTGTTTTTTTTTAACATTTTCTCCAGGCACTTGTTTGTTTTTACATTTTTGCTTTTTCTTGTTCTAGTATGGAAACGTAATAGGGTGGTCATACAAACATACTGTATGTGCCCAAATAGAATAATGATAATATACAGAATAAAACATTGTGTAGAGAATGCGTCATATCATTTCCAATGCACTTTTTTAACACCATTGGGATTTGAATTGGTTGTATATTACTTGTCTTCCTATCAACATATATGGCCATGTAAGTCTAGAAATCGTCAGCGAAACAAAAATGTTTAGTGTTAACCGCTGGTGTATTGTTTTATCAATGTTTGTACAAAAGGCACACAAGTAAATCGCACATTTCAATACAAACAATGACTTAAACTGCATTACAAAGCAGTTTGTCCTTTAAAGTCTCGTTGGTAATGCTAAAGGCCGACATTTTAAACCTAGGAGGCAACTGGGGAGAATCCGAAGCAATCGATAGAAAAGTCGAAATCTAGATGATGAGTAGCACTATCCCCATTTCGTGTATTGAGAGTTATAAGGAGAAAAATCCTCTTAATTTCGCATTGATTTTGTATATATTGAAGCCTTGTCAACATAATCCAAACTCAAACTCAATAAAAGTAAGGCAAAATATGATCGACAGAAAGAGAAAGAATATTTGAAAATTTGAAGACCGTAATTTTCATTAACTGCTCGGAAATCGTGAAAATGGGAACAGGCCGTTGCATATCAAATCATGTGTAATATGTTAGCACCATAACTATGAATGCAGTGATGTTGCTACCCAGAAACGGACAATTCAAAATAGAGGAATTGAAATAATTACATTTATCTACATCGGTTGAATACTGCCCATACTGTTTTCGTTGTTGGAAAAGATCGAGATAAGTTTATCGTGTTCTTGATTTCCAAATCTGATGGGGTATATATGATGGACGCAATCAACAAATATCTTGTAATTTAAAAACGGGAGGTCATCAACATATCTGAAATCATTTTAGATTTGCATCACCCACGTTGAAGACATACTGAGGTAAATGCTTGAAAAGCAAAGCGCTAAAAATATTGACAATTGTTGTCAGTGTATGTATCTTACCTCATTTGAAGATCTAGATGTTATATGATTGAATAATTCAAATGAAACATCTTGAAGCGAATGAGGCAATGCCAACTCACGAAGACACTGATCATTAACCCTGATATCGAAACATCTACACTATTCACTCATTTAACATTATCGCTAAATATATACCATTGCTTTGTAATAGAATGCAATGCAATGCAATGTTAACGGAATATCATAAATCGCTGCTTCAACGTTTGGTCTCGAATTAATGATAAAACCACGTTCGTAAAAATGATTCGCCAAAAATCCAGTCGACCTCGATAATCACGGGACGAAAAAAAATCTGGAATATCCAGTATACGTGTTTGAGTAGCAGAACTACACAGCGTGTGTTCTTGTAACCTGTTGCGGGTTCCTTGTAAATGACGCGACATTGAATATACACTGTTCAGTCTTCCTATCGATTGTACCACTTATCTGTGTTAATTGGTCTATCGAAGTTCTATCACAACATTTACTACTTGTTTGTTTAGTTATAAATATATCTGTATACACAAAGCTACTTTTTACAAGTACTGTTCACTATTAGTGCTTGACATCAGTAAATATTTCCATGTATACATTGATTTTTAAATAATCTATGGATTATTTTTGCAAACACCACAATGAAAGAATTTTACTTACAGGATGTACTTTCAAGTTAAAAAAACCCGTCAGATTTGTTTATAGCACTACATAAGTAGTCTTTACTTAAGAGGTTCATAAGCACAAAAATGAATATAAGCCAGCTGCTGTTTCGACACAACTAGTTAAATATTAACCTACTACAAAATATGAGTGATAAACAATATATCAAGGGGTGACACGTGTCGTTCTTACGGGTCTAATTTCATGCATTGTTAGATTTGCTTTAAAATCGCTAGACTGATTTTAAAAAGCTAATAACTAAATTTGGCCAAATGAGGATCTAGTTCATAATATTATTTCTCTTTAATGTCCGTTTTTCAATGGGCTTGTCATTCTTGTAAAGCTAAATGTTAATCATGCATATGTATAAGTGTTAATAAGTTTGGTATACCAAAACCTTGGGTGGGAGCAATTTTCCATTATAAAAACGAAACCACTCTGTTATGATTAAGTTATCAAACGCCATATGCTCATAATTATGTTTGTGAAATTGTATAAACAAATATACTTTAAGATATGAACATCAGAGATTATCAATGATAATGGTATAACTTTGGTACAGACAAACATGTAGGGCACGCGACTCGATGAAGGTACTTGGATTGCTGGTAAGACTATTTATGATCTGGTGGTTCGATATATATTCCTGATTGGCTGGTAACATTCAACATTTAACATCCGGTAATCCGATATGTTTTTTTACGGACGCTCCTTTATAAATACGCCTTTGTTAGAAGATATGTATCGGCGATGACAGTATGGATTGTATACAGGTACAGTAAGAACCGTCAATAAGTATATGACATCATTCATAATAGGTGCCTGGTTTCTGTTGTTACAATTTGAATCTACATTTTTAAAAACGTTTTTTCTTCTGACATATGATTAGTGTACCTAACACTAATAATAATAATAATTTTAATGATAATAAATAATAATAATAATAAATGACTTTATTTAAGAGTCGATAACACTTTGAGTACAAGACTCTTCTAACAAGTGGTCGACAGTAAAGTGTACAATATATACAATATTAAGATTATAGCATCACATAGGATATAAAAATCACAAATATCGCAGTAAACTAGCATAATCATGAAGGACTAAGATGTACATCTATAAAACAAATGTAATGATAAAGGCACATAGTGCAGCGGTATATATAAAGGTTACAGAGGGACTAATAATATAATAAAAGGACTAAATTAGCGAAGTTTTGTAAGGGATAAAGGACTGATAATTAAAACAATTAATTGGCAACATTCATAAAGGTACCATACTATCTTAGGGCATAAAAATGTGGATCTAGGTTGGTAAATTAGAGTTGAATTTTTTACAATGAAATTTAAAAATTGGTAAGGTTCCACATTGTCTGATATTTTCTGGAAGCTGATTCCACAAAGTTGGTCCAGTATATAGGAAGGAATTTTTAAACTTTTCAGTTTTGTGTTTAGGTATGATATAGTTACCAGCAGTAGATGCCCTAGTTTGTCTACTGTGTACACTGGACACGAGCACATTACAGTCCAAGTAGTTTGGACACAGTTTGTTAGCTACTTTAAACATTAGTATACATTCATTGTAGTTCACTCTTTTGCTAAAAGGTAACCATTTGAGTAAACAAGTTACTTAAAATAAAATTAAACTCTTGACGTTTTGTATGCCAGATTTCCGATATACATTCTGTATAGCACTAAATTATTTCTTTAATCAATTCGTTCACAGAGTGTGTAATAGATTAATTTGTATCATTTCTATCATTCGCACCACAGGAAACATAATTTAAATATATCATGAAATTTTTTTTCATACAATTTGAACGCAAATAGGTATTCAAATGCATAAATACATTTATAATGTAACTGACAAAGCAACATTAGTAAAAACACACTCGTAAAAAAATATGTTTTATGTTGCCTCATGCTATGCAATCGGTGGAGCAAAGTTTTATTAATAAAACATAAGACCTACCTGTCACTGCATGTCAAACGTAATTGGAGCAGTTTAAAAGTCTAAACAATTTTTCACTTTGTCAGCGAACGGTGTATATTATAATGTACCAACTAACTAAATCAGTATCATTATTAACTATATATTAAAGCGTCTATAATTTAAAAAAACACTACGAGAAAACGATATAAAACGTTCTATTTTCCAATAATATGTTACAAAACTAAGACTTTCTGTTAATGACTAAAATTGAAAGTTACTGCAATCATTTTTCATTGATATCTAAAAAAATTGAAAATGTAAACAGTGTGGTCTTGATCTAATTCATACATTACCGCTCGTAACCCTGATGCGTATAAGCCTCGAAATAAGCAATATGGCGCACGCAAATACGAAAAACCGACGAGGACCTATAAGTTACCTTACAGAAAGTGCCCGAAAGCGAAAGAGGAAGGAATCAGACCAGAAAAGAGGACAGGAAAGAATTCATATTAGACAGGAGATCGATAGATGGCGAAAGGTGGAAGGAGGATCTGAATACGGGTTCAAAATTTGCGAAGCTGCTGCTTGGCTGGTTAGCTTAACGTTAGCCCTATAGTTATAACGTATCCGCCTGTCATTCATTATAATCCAATAATCAGTGTTTGAAGCGTGGATAGGTTATGAACAACACTACTAAAAGTGTTATCTGATAAATGTTGAATGAAAATAAATGTGTTATTCGCTTGAATTTACTATCGAAAATCTTTGATTGTTGTGGACTACAAACTGGGACCCAATTGGGGGTATGCGTTCTATGTGTAAAAATATGACTGTACTGGTGTTACTGTAAGAATAAAAACATAGCATCAATCCCTGTGCATTTCTGCACTATGAGTTTGTGTTTTTTCTTTTCGTATTGTAATCAACCGAGCGTGAACATGTTTATAAACAATCGTCAAGACAAGTAATGTTCAGACGCCGAAAATATGTACTAAAACAACAAATTTAACGTTATAGGCGCGTGTATCGCGTTATTATGGATATATTTTATTATTCATAAGCCGAATTCTCCATTTCCCGATGTTGAAATCTAGGGTAATAGCCGCTTTAAATTACACTCTTCTGATAATATACAATGAAATATATTGCACAATTGAAAATACAGTCTTCTGTGTAAATATTATCATACCATTGCAGGCATATTCTTCATGAAAGAGTATAAAAACAGATGATGGACCCAATCACTGGCGATTTGGATGGGTCATGCTACAGCAAGATTGCATTCCATTCGGTTACATACTGAAAACATGCTTACGTTCAATTCCCTTTCCTTGCTTCTGTGGATTCTGTTCTTTGTGCGACTTGATGCTGAATGTGTTTGATGCTCGTAAGTTTGCCTGTTGTATCCTTGCAGTATACATTACATTCTGGGATTAACCATGCTTTACATGGTGAGTGTTTTCGATATAACAGATGACGCTTACTCATGCGGAATACCTGGTCTTATTTTACTTGTACTTTTTCTTGAGTTTCTTTGTAAAATTTTCTCTTTCTCATGCTTTGCCCAAGTTTAAATGAATTTGAGCTCAAGTTATTATTAAGTTGACATATTTGTATAATCTTCTTGACTTGTATATATGTATTTGTACGTATGCATCAAGTGAGGCACTTTAACAAATGAAAACTCAAAGAAAGCGCAAGGTACCATAACATCATGATTCCAGTGTTGCAACAGGGGAAGCAGATCTTTCGTGGTCTCTACAATGCCCCCTAGTAGCCGAATTCACAATTAACATCCACTTTTAGCCGCCCCCGGTAGGGAGAAACAAAATGATGTTTTCTTGCTCTTTAAAGCAGTTACTTTATTGGTATACCATTCGTTACACTGTAAACACTGCCTAGAATGTTATAACATAGACCGTTACATTCTGTGTATACAAGATTTCTTTAAACAGCATATAAAACACATTGACAGTCACCAACCTATAATTCGGTATCATGAGTCATTTTCAACTTTATGACGAAAAACAAGGGGGCCCATATTTTAAGTATTTTCTTAGTACAAACAAAATTGTAAGAGTACAGAATTTATCACAGCTTTGTATGTTAAGTAAACAAAATAGTATACAATGTCTTAACAATATATATAATGGTATGAAAGGGTTACATATGGGTATTTCTTCCCTCATATGATACAGTATATCACGTAATGTTTAATAAATAAACAGGCGTCCGTGATTGTTGTAATCTGGTATACGTGTATACATTTACAGCCAATACAGACTGACAGCAAGCCTGTATGCACTTAGTTCATTTTGTGTGTACATGTATATGTATACGTAATATGTGCATATGCAAATACCTATCACACTTTCAACGGGCACTATTTTAAGTAAATTAAACAATGTTTTGTACGAAGGCACGGTCACCAGGTAATATATATTTATAGCATGTAATGTTCTGATATATAGGACTGTTATGTCATGTGTTGTGACATTACTAGTATTTTAAAAACATCTAAAATTCACCTGTAGTATCAACGGTCACTGTCGGTCATTGAGTGAATTGATTGCGAAGATGGTGATCTTCTATCGTAGAAAAGTATTGTCTTACTGAACGGTATAAGTCAATAAAGATGTTTACCTACCTTAGATAAACTGACTTCCTATGTAGTAAACATATCCGAACTATTCATAACACATGTGCATGGTTTAGTCTTCCACTAAGATAGAAATTCTGTACGACTAGTTTGTCAATGGTGTACCAGTCGAATGACGTTCATGTAACAAACAAAATACCTCTGTATAACATTCGAGTTCCCGGCGTCTGGCTTCGCATAATAACAGGCATAAAAAAAGACGAACCCATTCAAAATCAATGATCCATAACGATGATCTGTACCACCCTATCAATAAAATGAAACCATTTACCCTTCTATATTGACGGCATGGGTCGAGTGCTTGAAGCGAAGTGGATAAGGAAAAGAATCTGAATCTAATTTTATCTTGATTTTTATGAAGACTAGAATCTGAATTAAAGTGTACATTTGAACAAAATAAAAAACACTACTGTTAAATCCGTATTCTTTGTCTTTGTCTTTATTCTACTTCCTTGCAGTCAAAACGATTGTCAGACAACATGTATTTAAATGAAGGAAGGAGTGAATTTTAACAAAGACACACCTGGTCAATCAGGTAAAATGATTATCCTTTTCTTCTTTTTATTTTCAAAAGCATGTGAGTAAGAATAAGAAAAAAAGACTTAATAGGAAACGCTTCCATTACTTCCTACAGTCACTTAGAGACTTATGAAAAAAATGTGGTAGATCCCCTCCACAAAGTGAAGCTTCAAGTTCAAGTATAGTCGTAAACCAGTCGTAGTACGATAGCTGAAAACACACCTGTAGTACAACATTCGAAAACGCACCAATCGTAGTACAACATAAGAAATGAAACTCACATAATATAAAAGAGCATCTCACCTGAATTCCTCTTATTTAAGCAATACTACCGATGTGAAAACCAGGACTGAAAATTATATAGTTTGCGATGAAACATACTTTACCAGAAAAATCATTAAAAGGACATTTCGACATAAAGGGTTAAAGTTGAATTGAAACAAAAAGAATATGAAGATAATAATAGTGGTAGTTAACACTGTAGAAATATGTGTAATCTATATTTTGCTTTTAGTACTCTCTTTATTTTAACAGGAATACGGAAGAGTTTATTTCTAGTGTACCTGTTACAAATAGTCCTTTACAATATAAAGAAGTACAAGCGTAAGATGAACATGTTACAGGCACCCTAAGGATAGAACCTGATGAGCAGGAAACAGTATTTCAACAACAACAACAACAACAACAACAGCAACAACAACAGCAGCAGCAGCAACAACAACAACAACATCATCATCAACAACCACAACAACAACGATAACAATAACAACGAAAAAACAACAACAACAAAAACAACAATCATTTGAAACAAGTAGGAAAATTGCGAAGAAGGACCATTGGATAATACGGAAGAGGAAAACAACGAACAAGAAAACGTGTTGGCCGTGGGTTGGGATTTCGTGTCAAGGCTCTGTGGTCTTTAAGGCATTGTGATTTCACTTTTCTCGAAAAACTTTATTGCCTATTCATCCAGTGTAAATATCTATACCTTCCCATTATATTTCAAGCTTTGAACCCGTTGCATTGTGCTTCAACGGGCAACGATATGATTCCATAATGTTTGTGATAATTATTATCTTTTGCTTTTTAGTATCTTAATCATATCCTCAGCCTTTTGGCATTTGAATACTTTCAGACAATTTCCATATTTATTCATGCTATAGACTTCGGTAATGTGTATATGTCTCGGGCAAGGGAAACCAGGACCTTTCTCACATATTTAATCGCAGAAAATGCAGATCGTATTCCAAAATAAGTCGTCTCTTCAAGTCCTATAAATGGGCAGCACGTACAAGTCAATATACCCTACTTGCAGCGTACAAACATGTACTGCAAAACCTTTTATTTCAATGAACTTGCACCAACTATATATGCACGCAGACATTTGCTAAAGTGGAAGTCGATATTGAAATTGTATACGTGTTCATTCGAGATAACAATAATAATCTTTTAATCGGCTTACAGCAAATACCTTTATTTATTATGTAGGTTTGACAGTAAAAAGAGAATGAGTCATAAAATTGATACACGTTTTCCTTATGTCTTTCTGATATATAGATAGATTATGTCCTAAATCCAGATGTTATGCAATGTATTCTGAAAAGGAACTCAGAATATGCACATGACGTCAATCCATTAACTCCTACATGAATATCCTTTCAAAGTGGATTTATCAATCCCATTTCAGTTATCACGAACTTCATATATGGGAAACATATCAGTTAATCACCTTTGCATGGACTATTAGGTCTGGAATGTATTAAAATGAAGACGAGATATACAAAACGTAATCTATGGTCATACTGCTAGTATTGGAACAGGATGTACCAATACAATAACGTTGATTTAAAATTGTTAATCACTACCTTTAATATGTATTTAAAGATATCTTTGAAGATTACTGAAACTTTTCTCTTTTGTAAATGTGATTTGTTGATTTCCTCTGATAGCACAATTACGTGTTTTAATGTTGTATTTATGTCATTTGAAATTACGATGTTCGATCTTTCTAAACAATGTTTCCTCTGTGTCATAAAGTGGAGGGTACAAAGGCCCTTGGACTGATTAGTCAAACATGAGGATTCTGTTTTGAGGTTGAGTTTTATGACAGTTATTAAAATATATGTATATATCTACATGAATAATGTATGCAGCAGAGACGAGACCCAATGGTTTTGATGTAGGACACCATAAACCGAGAATACAACACAGCCCTCACAGGGGCAATTAAGTCGATGAATGACAGTCCGAAAAATATTCAAGAGGATTAAACTACTTTTGTACCTTGCAACATGCTACGACAAATTTCTTTGTGCTTAAACAAGAAATGAAAATCAGAAACCCGTAACGTATACTGCATTGGATGAATGAATTTCTTTGTGCTTAAACAAGAAATAAAAAGGAACCTGAAACGTATACTGCATTGGATGAATGAATTTCTTTGTGCTTAAACAAAAAATAAAAAGGAACCTGAAACGTATACTGCATTGGACGAATGAATCAATAACTTTTTGTATTGATAAACAAATCGTTTTCTTCTACTTATTGTGTTTTATATGTATAGGGGAAAACCAACACGAATATACCTACCTGGCAACGGAATCATTATCCAAACTCAAATCAACAAAACTAAGGTACTACATGAACAAATGAAAGATTTACATACGGATTCCTAAAAGAGCTAGATGTTCTGAAATCCTGTGTTACGAGTTTGTCCGTCTGTTGAAAATCGTGCTAACGGGAATAGGCCGTTGAATACCGAATAAACACCATTGGTAAGGGATGCAGGGATGTTACTATCCAGAAATGGACAATTCAGAATGGCAAATTGAATCCATCCCGCTTATAGCTTGTTGGTTTCGTTGTAAAATCGAGATAAACGGCTGATGTAGAAAAATAGTGTCTTTGATTTCCAGTTCTGGTGGGTATATACGATGGGCGTAGTCAATAAATGTCTTGTTATTTAAAGACCAGATGTTATCGATATATCTAAAAGAGATATTATAAACGACTTTGCAATGTCTTTGTGACCTGTTTTGATAAGCTCGTCAATAAATTGAGCCTCGTTTGAAGAAAAAGCAAGTCAGCCGACAGAAGGTCGCAGCTGGTTCACATCGGGTTGCCATTAGTCTGTTGGACGGTATTTCCACCTATCTCGACATAGATGTTGTTCACTAGAAACTTATCATTTTTTATGATTTGGTCGCCTATATATTTCTTCATTGATTTGGACGTGTTTCCACAAAATATGAATAACTGTAGTACACAACCACATATTTGTACTGTCATTCAGCTTTCTGGGGAAAAAAGAACTCTCATAGGAAGAGAACGAATGCGTTGTTTCTGGTTAGAATTTTGTGGTGTATATTGAACCGTGAGACTAGTGACCTCCCTATGTAAATCTTTTGGCCAAGATAGTTTTCGCTCATTTGCTTCCTAGGGTTCAAAATTTAGGCACGTTGCACACTAGAACAGCTGTATTGACACAGTTTGAATAATTATTTGGCTCTACTGTAATTATAATTGTACTGAAAAATGCTATCAAACTTGTGTGTCTTTTGTACACGGTTAGCAGTCAATAGTATGTGTACCGTCTCTGAATGGACTATACCCTCTCCTTTAACATACAGAGCACTTGACGGAAGGCTATCCACTTGATGGAAGATATCGAATATGTTCAAAGATCATCAGACACAGCAGGTCACGTTTTTCCAATATCTTTTGAATATTTGTTGAACTTGATAGGTATTACCAGATACACCATAAATTGCTAAATACAATTCCTTTGATATCAACTTTCAATGACTCGTGGTTATATGTGATCATGGCAATATACAATTATACAATTGATGTATGTCACGTTGTGAATAGAAACTATTTAACTTCATTTGATTCCTAAAATATGTGAAATGGCGTGGTGTTTTAAAGATGATTAAGCTTAACATATTCCAACAAGTCAAAGTGTAAAGAAAAGGAAAAATAATGTTATTTTTATAGAAAGACGCATTAGCATTGATCAGCGTTAATATGAATTTTGTTTCACAAAATCGAATTAAAACGTTTCTCTAATTCTGTTCATTGACAATCACGTACTGTATCTTCTATACTAACATCAGATTCATTATTGGAGTGTTCATACATACATATGTAAACCAGAAAAGAGATGAATGTGTATTAATTACAGGTGTGAACTAATGTGTAACTATATGTATATAATTGTATATCAATTGTAATCATTGAGATCTTTTTCCACACAATCACTATCTGAGTATTTACAACAACTACATCGTTCATGGACGACAGGGCCAGTGTTCAAATTGTACCTGTTCATTTTCTCTCTACTTCCAAAACATTTTTTCCGAAGACCATCATTGACAATACGTTTCAATGTAAGTGCATTATATAAGTGTCCTTGAGCGACCTTTCGGTTTGAGTACACTACTATACAGAAGTGTCCCTCAGCGACTGCATTATCGGTTACTCTTAACGCTTAAACTCTTAACAAATCTAAAAGCACGTGATGACTGATGAACGTATTAAGTATCTTATTGTCCCTGTTTGTGTAGTTGTCATATAGACAGGTTAAAATCGATAAAAAGATTTTTTTTAGCTTGAATGCACCTTCAGCCGTACTCATTGTATATATAGGATTGAATTTATAAATTACGATCTTTAATATTGTGAATATGATACAAGTTACCGTGGACTCGGTTACAACGCTAACAAAACCAGTTCGACATGCAATGGTGTTTGTCCATTTATATATATAGCTTTCAAAATAAAATGACTGATACATCATTGATCATCAAAGTCGTAACAGGTTGTGTAATCGAACCTCTTTATCTCGAACTCGTCGGGCTATTGGGAAACTTTGAGATAACCTAGTAATCGATATAGGTGGGTTCGAATGTTTTTGTAAAGTTTGATATTGACCGACGAAATGCTTCGAATTAAAGGGATTATCGAGTTAAACGAGTTAAAGATAACCAGGTCCAACTGTATAACGGAAGCCATACAGTTACTTCATAACAAACTGCCTTTTCTTTTTAATATTCTTAAAATTTATAGCCTACTAAAAGTAAACGCATTTAATAAATGACATCCAAAGCTATAATACGGGGTCACTAGGTACTGATTACATTACATAAATATAAGTGTTTGAAGTTCAACAAAGACGCTAGAGGACTCCCAACGGTTTCCCTAAAGGGTAAGGACTTAACATTGTTACGTTGTTCTTGAAGTTCTATTTATTGTGTAGAATCCTATGCACTCTGTTACTCCACGAAAATATCCTACAAGCAACTGCTAATATATTTTTGCCCCGTGCTTCGTTTGTGTGGATATGTTACATATGTTTGGAGCAGATTGCCTCGCCATGCTTTTTGACCTGTGATATGTTTGTATTGTTAAGTAATTAATGGCTAGTCTTTGTGTGTAATAAGTTCTGGAATACATACGGTAATAGTACCCTTGGGTTTTGTTTCCGTGTCATAGAAAACTTCTCATTACCGTTGTCTTGAAATCTCCCGAAGACACATGAAACATATTTCAGCTTACAAATCCATCTTTCATTTTTGTCTTATTGACAAAACGTCAAAATGGGTTAAAGGTAAACTAGTTAATTAAGGCTTACCCGGTTTGCTGTTTGAGGTCGAAGTTTATTGTTCGAAGTTAATAAACTGGATTTGTTTTTAATGGTTTTATTGATTTCGGAAATGCATACTAATACAATTAAGTTGCTAATATGCTTTCCCAGCTGGAAGGAATGATAATGATGTGCAACAGATAATGTGTTTTTTCTGGTGTGTTCACATAACATGTTATAGCATGTAACAAAAGATATGTGTAGGCAATGTAAAATTGTGAGCTATAATTGAATGTAATTTGATTTAAAGGTATGTGACAGGTGTTTCTCGTTTGTCGTTATTAGCATTATATTGACTGAATGTCTCGATTGTTTTGTATCCACGTCGATCGAACCGATATGCGCCAGTAATCGATATTAATGTGACATTTCAAGACACTGTGTATTGGCCCATCCATAACTGAACAGTCACAGCCATACAAATAATCTCTCAACATACCTGTTGAAATCTGATTAAATATAAATCCCGCCACTTAAAGAACCCAACACCAGTTGGCCTTATATTGCACACTATTACAGGTATTGACATCTATCAAAACATGAAAATAATCTATAAGATATCAGGCTATCAGGAATTCATTTCACATGTGGATGACACAGTTATAACAATCTGATTATAATCAACTGATCGGAGTCACGTCTAATCACTCTATTGAACTTTTCTTTTTCGGACGCAAAGTAAAAACATGACGAGAATACAAACATATTTGAATATTCATAATCCAAAATTAAATTCAATGAAACCTGAGCAAAATATGACCAGAAGAAAGATTTACATCGGGACTACAAAAAAGGACAGAGGCTTGCCTCTTTTGTCTTTCTCTCTTTCCTCTTTCACGTTCGCCAAAATACAGCTTTTATTTTAAGGTCATGAATTCTCTATGTACATGGTATCAAAAACGATGCATGTGAATTGGAAGGTATGGTATTGTCTGGCGATAATTTGAATTATTAAAAGTACTTGGGAAAACGTTTCAATCAAAGCATCAATGATGTAATTCATCAGAGCTGAAACAAGCTTTCGTATTTACTTGAAATATTGCCAGAAATTCGTCTATTCTATTGTAGCGGTATATAATACAAAAATTGCACTTGTATTGCAGCTTGAGTGGTAAAGAATATTAATTTTGTCAAATATCGTTTTAGTATACAAGTTTTAAATTTGCGACATTGGCAAAGGTTCTATCAGGACGGTAACCGCACACTTATGTACACACCGGGACACTCCGATGAATATATTATCGGTGTAACTCCAAAATGACACGCCTTAGATACGTCGATATTTAAGTTGTAACATAAACAGTGGGCATTAATCATTTATTTCTGTTTAGATTAAACGACGCGATAAGGGAATGGGAAAGATATACAGTGTTCATCCTAAACAAACCACAACCTCTATAACCTGATAGGATTGGCTTATTGTTTTACGCCCACAGCTAAGGTCAAATGGTGGTGGTGTCCACACATTACGGGGATACTAAAGGGTGATTTGATAGAGGTTGTTTAACGTTAGATGATGTAACCATGGACATATGACGATGGCAGACACATTGCTTTGCCTACGCAATAGAATAGTATCAACCTGGTTCATTTGAAATTGAAAACAGATAAGATCTATTATCGTATGTGCAATTATTGTGACTCTGTTGCTCTATCTTTGTCACTTGCTGACTCGATATTAGAACCTTCTGTTTCGTTAAGACTGGGTTCGCGGATGGTGGCGCCTATGATGGAGGCCATTTAGAGTTATCACACGCAGTGGAACTACTCAGAAATGAAAGCACAACATCCCATCCGCGAACGGGCTATCCAGTCTCCGTTCAAAACAGAGCCACAAACAGGGAACAAAAAAGTACAATCTTTCTTATTTTGGCAGGCCACGTCTCGGTGAAAGAACCTATAAACATGTTAGCTCTAGTTCTAATTCTAATTCGGGGCCCATTGTCATACCATCTTTTAAAGAAGTAATTACGTGACTTTGATAATATCACTTTAACGAAGTAATAATGTAACTTCTCACATGCGTAAATATTCCTTTCATTATTTGTCATTTTGTGTTATAGATGTGTCGTGTTTATAGTGGTAAGTAAGTAATTTAGCACGCACGACGGGTCGTGTGGTCGCTTGCGCCATAAAAAGTATCATTACGAACACAGGAAACCCATACAGACTTTGATAACTAATATTTGTCGTTATGTTAGTTATTTGTTGTGTGAAAAAAGCGTTATGCGTCCTTGGAATGTTGGTTTTGCATTATCTAACATGTGGTCCCATCATGCATATCGTACATATATGTGTGAAAGAGCAGAGGAAATACACATTCCTGTCGAGTGCCCGACAAGGAATCGAACCCAGGTCTCTGGCGCGATGATCGACCGACTCTACCAACTGAGCCAAGAAGCATGCTCCGTAAGCTGAGTGACAGAGACCGTATTTAACAAAATTTTTGTGTGAGTTTAAACTGTTTATTTCATCGTACTTCCAAACACAGGCATGTATTATAAGTTATCATTAGTCATATTAGGTGTCGCACTTGTTTCTCCCTCGAAACATTTCAACAGCCAGCATTATTTAATAAATCAAACCTTTCATAAAATTTACCCCGCTAAAGTAGCTGAAAGCGACAAGGGAGTGAAGTTCGGACACCTGGCAGGAAAGTTCGGACCAATGATTTCGCAATGTATGTCTACAGTAATGAGTCGTGTCTACAGTTAATTGTTTTATAATCATGTTCTGGATGTAGTGCCATAGATAATGAAAGTTTAGAGCTTTCATGGTCAGCAGTGGGTTCCCGTACAATGAGTTTCTGTATTGAGAGTAACCTTTTTTCCGACTGACCTATTCTCGTATTATCTTTGTTATATCAACTGATTTTTTTCATTGTATAGTGTTAAGTATTTCTTCAAAATGTGATATCAATAATTAGAATTAGTGATATCAATAATTTATTTACAGAAATGATATAACTAATTCGAATAATTTATATTATCAAATATTCTTAACCATTGACATCATTAATTCAATAGAGTGATGTCAATACTTCATTTGATGATAATAAATTAATTTGATGATATCACATTATGTAGATAAATACTTCATTCAGGTATCGACCTAAATAAAATAAACACAAACATCCTTGTAAAGTGACGTTCCAAAAAAAAAAAATAATAATAATAACTGAGTAAAATCGGTACACATTCTAAAATGCATCAAAGGTGTTCAATGGTGTCTCAACAACTGAACGTTTTTATTTCGACAAAGATGTCCTTTATTTCTTTCATGTCACGATATTGCTGTGCTCGATATTGCTGTGTATAATTTTAATCAGCAAGAATCTTGACAAGTGACTTTGTAATCAGCCTATAAAGTTACCTCCTCGATACTCCAAGGGTTTCAAATACTTTCGCTCTCTGTACTCCTGTCACCATCCTCCATACTCCAGGGGTTAAGAACACTTTCGCTCTGTGCACTCCTGTCACCATCCTCCATACTCCAGGGGTCAGAACATTTTCGTTCTCTGCACTCCTGTAACCATCCTCCATACTCCAGAGGTTAATAACACTTTCGCTCTGTGCACTCCTGTCACCATCCTCCATACTCCAGGGATTAAGAACACTTTCGCTCTCTGCACTCCTGTCACCATCCTCGATACTCCAGGGGTAAAGAACACTTTCGCTCTCTGCACTCCTGTCACCATCCTCCATACTCCACGGGTCAGAACATTTTCGTTCTCTGCACTCCTGTAACCATCCTCAATACTCCAGGGGTTACGAACACTTTCATTCTCCCACCCCTGCCCATGTAGGATACACATGTCCCATGTGGAACACCCATGGAGGATACGGAGTTAAATGTTGTTCAATACAAGTATTTCCATGTATCTATCGCTAATTAAAATATTTAATTTCCAAAAAATAAATATTTCTAATGGTTATTCATATTGCGTTTGTAGTCTGTCATTTTGCTCTCGCGGAAGAATGTAGAATTTTTGAAACGTGAATGGTGATATTCATGCGCCATTCAGACACTTGTACCGTTGGATTTTTCGTGGCGGAAATAATGGGGTGGGAGAAAAATAATCAACCCCTACCCTCAGAGGATGTGACAGAGAAATCTCCAACCCTCGGGGTGATTTTTGTTGCAGTCTAACCCTCGGCAGAGCCTCGGGTTAGACAACAACAAAAATCGCCCCTCGGATTGGAGATTTCTCTATCACACCCTCAGGGTAGGGGAAGATTCTATTAATCCTACATGACTGCACCCGGTGACCTCGCTCGAGGGACTACTTTTCTTTTGTACGAAGGGAAACAACTCCCGTAATCGTCTGCTTAAGAGTCAAAATGGCTGAGACAGAGATTTCAAAACAACGATGTAAGCGATTTTATTCATGGCCAAGAAAATTCAAACACATTAAGGAAAACATTATCACACATGAAACTGCTAAGGGAATTTCTGAGAGACAGGTACAGTGAATTGAGAAACATTGAATCGATCCCATCAAAAGAATTAGACAAATATTTCAGCAATTTTATCGTTAATGTGAGGACCAAAAATGACGAAGAGTACGAACCTAGCTCTATCAGGGGAATGATCGGTAGTTTTGACAGGCACCTTAAGAGGCACAGATACGGATTTCAAATTATGTGTCCAACTTGTGTTGAATTTTCGACCACAAGAGATGCCTTGAGAGCCAAACAAAAACATCTTAAGTCAAAAGGAAAAGGGTCAAAGCCTCTAAAAGCTGATCCTTTAAAACCCGATGACATTGGAAAGTTGTTTGCTACTGTCCAGTTAGGGAACAGCACTCCGAACAGTTTAATAAATACTTTATGGTATAATAATACCTTACATTTCGGTATGAGAGGTGGTAGCGAAGAACATCGCAATATGTGTTGGGGGGATGTGAAATTGAAGCTTGACCCTGACACAAGCACAGAGTTCTTAGAATACCATGAACGTGTCACTAAAACCCGTACCGGTGAGGATATTACTAACACACGGCCATGTCCACCCCGAATGTATGCAAATCCTTCTAAGCTAGAGCGGTGTCCAGTATTTATGTACAAATTTTATGAAGCGAAACGTCCGTCAGACTTCTGCAATCCCCACAACCCTTTCTATATTGCAGCGGTGACCAACAACCAAAACCCCAAACCCAACGAGCGATGGTTCCTGAGGGGTCCGATAGGTAAAAACAAACTTGAGAATATAATGAAAAAAATGGCGACTTCTGCCGACTTACCTACAGATAAGAGATATACAAACACCAGTGTAAGAAAAACACTCGTGCAGACAATGACCGATCACAACGTTCCGGACAATCTCCAAGTGTATGTAACTGGACACAAAAACACACAGAGCTTAAATAATTACAGAACTTTAAATGATGTTCACAAACAGGCCATTTCGAATCTCCTTACTAATAATCCACGAGCACCAGTCACAGCATCGAGATCCATTCAACATCATGGACTAAATCGAAACATTCCAGCGACGGTCTCAAGGCCACCACTAATGGCACTATCCCCTCGATTGAAGCTGTCCACTTGGGATTCTAGCAATTCAATAACGTGTCAAGGAAAGGACATACAACAAAAAGATCCCGCGGAATGTATGAGCCTACAACAAACCACGGAACTAGAAACACACGTCTCTGGTGAATATCTAGGTCACGTTTCTTTCTCTCAGTCGGCTATCACAACTGACTCAAACCGACGGATGGAAGCTTTGTTTGCAGGTTCCGTAATGCGCGACTGTAACATCACAGTTAACATTAACTATAACAATACTTGTCCAGTGAAAACAAATAAACGTCGGAGGATCATCTATGACTCTGATTCTGAATGAACACACGTGTGACACTCACACCATTGCAATTTTTCGCGCGCATAAACAATTGACGTCATTATAAACTGGGAAATCCCCTTTTTGGCCATGACAACGCGGCAAGCCTACCCTACCTTAATAAATGATACGGAGTTAAATGTTGTTCAATACAAGTATTTCTATGTATCTATCACCATATTAAAATATTTAATTTCCAAAAAATAAATATTTCTAATGGTTATACATATTGCGTTTGTAGTCTGTCATTTTGCTCTCGCGGAAGAATGTAGAATTTTGGAAACGTGAAAGGTGATATTCATGCGCCATTCAGACACTTGTACCGTGGGATTTTTTTTTACGTCGTGGCGGAAATAATGGAGTGGGAGAAAAATAATCAACCCCTACCCTCAGAGGATGTGACAGAGAAATCTCCAACCCTCGGGGGTGATTTCTCTATCACACCCTCAGGGTAGTGGAAGATTCTAATACTCTGTGAACTCCGGTCACCATCCTCCATACTCCAGGGGAAAAGAACACTTTCGCTCTGTGAACTCCTGTCACCATCCTCCATACTCCAGGGGAAAAGAACACTTTTGCTCTGTGAACTCCTGTCACCATCCTCCATACTCCAGGGGTTACGAACACTTTCGCTCTGTGCACTCCTGTCACCATCCTCGATACTCCAGGGGTTAAGAACACTTTCGCTCTCTGCACTCCTGTCACCATACTCCAGGGGTTAAGAACACTTTCGCTCTCTGCACTCCTTTAACCATCCTCCATACTCCATGGGTTAAGAACACTTTCGCTCTGTGCACTCCTGTCACCATTCTCAATACTCCAGGGGTTAAGAACACTTCCGCTCTGTGCACTCCTGTCACCATCCTCAATACTCCAGGGGTTATGAACATTTTCGCTCTGTGCACTCCTGTCACCATCCTCCATACTCCAGGGGTTACGATCAACCCACACAAATAAACACGCCCTTCAAGTATTTGTTAAAACAAACGATTGAATAGGAAGAAATGTACAAAAACGAACTCCACATGTAAGACCCTACATCCAGTATAGATTACGTATAAAGAAAACCACCGGGTAAAACGGTCCTGGATTGGTTTGCAGTCGGCTTCGGCTCTTGTTCCATGGCTTGTGGCACATGGAACCCTGTTAGGTTGTGGAACGGGGATAAACAGTTCTCGATAATTTTTATACAGAACTGTAAATTCAACACTGGCTATAGGGTCTTAATCTCGAAATCTTAAATCTCACACAATCAAACTCAATACACAACCATATATACAAAAGAACAATATACTAGGACCCACCCTACCTATGCATGCACTAAAAATCTCTCGCTTTCAAAAATCTTAAATCTGTATTAAATTATCTCAACCTATCATTACACTTTCTACTGCAGCGTAAGTTATCATGGCAATACCTAACATAACCCTTCTGATTCAATACATTCACACAAATCACACATATAATTATAAAAAAATGGTAAAGCAAACAGATGTATGCAAAGGAATGGAGTGGAATCACAGAAAGCAATAGACATTAGTAAAAGCGATAAAGACGCTTAGTCAGTATGACTGGAAAACGTTTTTTTAGGAGACGGGACAACCAAAAAACAAGTGTTATTTATATACTCACCTGCACCGAACTAACCCCTTACTGTAATATGGCGGATGGGACTTAAAAGGTGGTCCGTGTGAGGATTGTGCACTCTGAGGATTGTACACTCTAAAGATCCCCCTTTATCTGAGACTTCGTAAAATGAGTAAGGCGTGGTAACGCCGGTCCAGGGGTCTAGGGATAGTGTCAGACTATATACAATTATTAAGACATTAAAACGGTCTTCAAAATTATCGTTACGCAAACTAAAACTAGATAGGCCCCCAACTCTTGCTTTCAGCTCCAACCCACTGAGGGAGTGCAGGCCGCTCTCTCGCGTCGCCAGAATACTGACATTCGTCGGTGAAACGATAACCGGACACGGGAGGAGTCGCAAAGACGAAAAACCTGTTAATCAACCGACCAAGGTGATGTGTAAGGATCACAAGGTGTTCGAACTTCTCTCTCTGTCCGAACTTCCTTACCTTTACATTACAGCACTTCTAGGCCTAAAGTTTGAGTTATCTCCCCTACAACTTCTGCGGTTTTTCCAGTTGACCAGGAAGTTGGTGAATTGATATGATGGACTGGTGAAAGTTTCCTCCACTCGACGAAGGTGATATCAGAATATGTGGACGAGCTTTCTTTAATCGACTTCCTGCTATGACCTGACATTTATACTTGATGAGGGTATAATTACGGAAGAGAAACAGTTATAGCTGGCCATGGTGTTGATACGCCTGGCCTTCAGATGTACACACGTACGTGTCTATGTTATATATAGGTTTCGAATTCGAAGATAATTATCCTTTTCTTTAGTATGTCACTGGTATAATGTAAACTGTTATTGCGGACGAGAAAAGGAAGAAAAATAAATACATATGAGTTAGTAGATAGTGAGATACAGATATGAGAGACCTCTGCATGTTAACACGTTCCGGATACAGACGTCTGTCAATGTTATCAGACACGTAACTAGATATAAACAGGTTGGACACAACCCCTTCGTATGGAGTTAAAAGATATTTTATGTCCGTGATACGGGGTGAATTGTATACAGAAAATGTCTGTCTCTAAAATGATAAATTAATGTCAATATACACAAATATTATGCTGTCAATCATATTTACATTTCTTATTGACTATGCTCTTTTTAGAG